ATTCCAACGAGCTATGGCTCGTTCTTGTACGATCACTGGATGGTCGTGTATTCATTTTTTCGCATTTTTCTTAATTTCGGATAGAACCGAACCGAACCGGACGGTTCCGGTTCGGTTCCATTTCAGTTTTCGGTTCTACCCGAACCGCAAAAAAACCGAACCGAACCGACCCGTTCAGAGCTTTAGTCTGGTTTTCATCCAGTTTTCAGTTTTCATTTTTTTTCATCCAAACATAACAGCATAAACCATTTTGAAAATGGCGATAATAAAATACTCCATAAATTTTTTCAGAAATCATCTGGACTTGTCTCAAAAATAGCGATTAAACCGAGTTCAAATGATCATCAAATCAGAAATGTGAGTACGCACTGTTGGCAAAAATTATAATTAGTATATTCTAAATTAGGGATGCCAAAAGTTCAGTTATAACCGATTATAGCCGGTTTTTATCAGTTTGGTTATGGTTTGGTTTCAGTCCAAGACTGACCAATTAACCGTCAGTTTTATATATAAAAAAAACTGACAAAAAAACTGATCAGTTAATCATATATTCCAAAAGAAAAAAATGTTTCTTTCATTAATTATATTGAGAATATTATTAAAAATTATGATTTTGGTGTTTATTTATATATATAGTATTCTTATTTTTGAAATAATAGGAAAATTTTTTATGTATTGATCACGTGATTTTTCATTCCGCTGAAAAAAATTGCAAAATTGACATTATTATCATAAAAAAAATTATAATTTTAAGGAATATTATCAAATAAAATTATAATTAACATTTCTAACATTAGTTCATTCAATTTTGCAGTAATTTTGCGATCAGTTTTGCAATTCGGTTTTATCGGTCAGTTTTGCGGTCAGTTCGGTTTCAGCTGAAAACCGCGTTTTTAAACCCGAAACTGAACCGAACTGACCATTGGCATCCCTATTCTAAATATTTTAAAAAAAGGTATTCCATTGAGATATATATATATATATATAATTATATATATTGCGCTTATTATTATTATTACTGTATTACCAGTTTACTCCAGAATAATATAATTCTTTGTATATTTTAACCCTTTTAATCTTAATGTTAGTACATTTCTAATTACTTCATTTTCTTTATGCATTTAATGTAATTTTCATCATCAAATTTTTATGAAGTGTTGACTTAATTCATAGATTTTGTTTTCACTTTGGTAGTTTCAATAAATATTCTTAATGCTCATTTATACTTATATTATTATATTCTTAGCCATAACTTTATATTCTTTATATTACATTTAAACAAATAGACCATCGATAATGTTATATTAAATGACATTTCATTTACTGTATTGTGATGTTACGTTATGGAATGTATGCATATTTAATTTTGAATAATCAGAATTTCATATAATTAGAATACTGAAATATAATACATAATAGCTTATTCCCAAATATGAATTATGGTGTCCTTTATGAAATTCTTGTTATATTAATTTATAATATTACTTTATGTTATAGGCCTGCATTTAGCCTTATTTTCGGATTTGACCAAAAATTTTTATATCACATTTTATGGTTTAAAAGTTTTATTTTAAATTTTTTTTTTTTTAAGTACTTTAATCGAAAATATAAGCTATAGTGCCGGCCCAAATTCTGAAATTACGAAACGATAAATCACGTGACCTCGGATCTCTGAAATTTTGAATTGTTACACTAAAGCTTTAATTCTGGCTGACATTATAGGCTTAGCCAGAATCATTGATTATTCGTGCAATAAACGTTTTATTTTAAATGTTGGTTTGTTATTCGATATATCAAGATATCCAATATATTAGCCGTTAATGAAAGAGGTGGATTTATGAAAGCTTTTGGAATTGGAACTTCTGTATTAATTTCTGTACTTGTTGGTAAAGTATTGTAATGATTTTTTTTTAATTGTTCTGTTAAATATATCAAAAAATCTTCTTATACCAGATTTTATATAAAATTATGTTAGGATCCAGTGTATCAAGATATACAGAATATTCCCAAACTTTGATTAAAATATTAAAATAAAAAAAAGAATGATAAAATTGTATGCAATATTTATTTGTAAAGAAATTTTGGTATAAAATGGTTAATTTTAATTATGGTCAAAATCGGCTGGAATTAAAAATTACAATAATGAAGGATGAAGGATATATTACCGCCGAATTTGGAAAAATTTGATATATCAAGATTTTTTGATATAACTGGGTGTCACAAATTCAATTTGATTGGATTTGAATTGCCAATCCATTGGATTGGACCAAAAATCTAATCCGTGTTCACATATTAAAGAAGTAGATTTTCAATTTTGATACTACTATCTTACGCGTTTTAGTCTAGACCAAAGAAAAATGATTCAAATACGTTTTCTAATTATTCTAATCATATATTTAATTTTTTTTGGACCAGTCTGACTCATCTTGTGAAGAAACAACTGATGATGATAATGATTTATTACTTGTTCATGAATGTATAGATGTTATTGAATGGAATAATTCTTTAAGAACAGTTTATAGAGTATAGATGAGCAAGAAGAGCGCGTAGCCTTTGTTGGTTTAATAATATATGCAATAGTTGGGAAATGCAGAATTTAAGTGCCATTTTAGAATAACAAAAATTACATTTGAGTGGTTATGTACTGGAATAACACCTATATTATTACAAAGAAACAACTCAAGAGGTGCTCCAAGGCTTCCAATAAAACATAAAGTTTCACTAACTTTATGGTTTTTGGCTACTGGTCAAAGCTATAGAACACTTGGGCAGTTATTTGCATTAGGAGAATCAACTATATGTTACGTTATTAGATCAGTTTTACAAGCAATTAAATGTCATTTTCTTTCTTCAAAAATTCAGTAAAAATTTAGAAAATATTGTTAAATTAATCTAAGTATTAATTATTATGATTTATTTTTTTTAGATTTCCCAATAGTTATGCTGAATTTAGTGATATTGCAAAAAGATTTAAAAGAAAAGCTGGTATTCCATATGTAATAGGAGCAATTGATGGAAGCCATATACCGATCAAGGCTCCAAAAGAATTTCCTATAGATTATTATAATACTGTAATAATAGGATACAATGTAATTTTTTTTTTGGTATTAATAATGATAACTTTTAATATTATTTATTCAATATTAAATTTTTTTTGATAACAATAAATTCCACAAATACATCATTTTTTCAAAATGTTCTAATCATCAATACATATCGATTTTCCATCAATATAATATGTAATATTTTGTTAATACTAAATTTATATGACTTCTCTTCAGGAAAAATTTGAAGATGAAACACCTGAACAACATAAAAAAAGATTAAATAATGAAAGTCAACCCGTCACAGAAAAAAACAAAAAACCGAGTGTAGAGAACAAAAAACCAAGTATAGAACAGACATAAATCTTATAGATCATCATAATTACATAAATCACCATATATCATATCAGTGTATTAGAATTCTTATATTACATTATCAGTTATCCTCATAAGTTCATGCAGATTTTACATAATTGTTATTTATTATTTCATAATACTATGTATTAGCATAATAATAAAATTATTGGATAGTAACGGGAGTTTATTATAAAAATTGCATGAACGGTCCCGTCAAACCGATAATATATAAATATAATTTAAATTACCCTAATACACTGTAATTATATCATTCTAATATAGACAGCAGCTACATTATTGTAAATATAATTCATATCATTCTAAATATAATTTATATTATTCTAATACTGTAAATATAATTGTCAATATGATTTAATATATTATTTTTTTGTTAACTAGTTATTAACTATAATTTTTAATTATAAACAAAAAACTGTAACCATTTTTTAATTTACTTAGTATTACATTATAATACTAAATTGTACAAACTCATTAGTCCCGGTACGAAGCAACGGGCAACTGCTAGTATATATATATATATATTACTGCAACATGTGTGGAATTGGAATCGATTTCCATTTCAGAATTGATTTTAGAGTCGACTATTCGTTTCTTAAATTTGATTCTAAAATCCGATTTTCGATTCCGATTAATCGTTTCTAATCGCACTATTAAATTTGTGGGAGAGCAAATTTCTGATGATCACAAATTTAACATTTTACTTATGTTTTTGCGTTAGAATACATAAATAATCAGTGATCTGCGGTAACTCTGGCCAAGTTTATAATTCCAGGCAGAATTAAAACTTTTATGTAACACAATTCACAAGATCGTAACAAATTTTGTGTAACAATTAATAGAAGATGTGAGATACCAGATTTGCATCAGCAGTCATCACATTAATAGAATCAGTATTATCAGTCATGTTTAATTTGTTATATTAGAAAATTACGAATTAATAGGAAGATTTCAACTTCCTTGATTATAAAATAAGATAGATATTATTCGAAATTTTGAATTCAGAAAAATATTTTTCTTATAGATTCGTATTTATAAAAAAATTATTCTTATCACTTTTGTGGATTGTTGGCTTTATTACCAATTTTTAACCGATTTATAATAATTTCTCATATTCAATCATAAATCGTCATAATTATCGTCCCAGAAAAACGTTGGACGTCACTTTTTCATTAATGATTTTCATTATATTGTATATATGAGCGATTCTATTATATTTTGTACAATGCCTATTCTCTGTTAAATCTATGGAAAAAAACTATCGGAAAACAACGGAATTAGATGGTTACAAAAAAATGTGTCCAATTTCAAAACGGATTATACCCGTTTGAAGGTTGAAACGAATTTTTTATTATACAAATATTATTAACCGTTTTATCAATTATAGTAATGTGTATCTATAAATAAATTAAATATGGCCAATTCGGTAAAAATACTGTGAATCTCACATAAATAATCATCTTTTAATTTCTTTTAATTTTTTTTGAACAAATATAATATGACAGAATTAAATATTGATTGTCTTAATCTTATTTTTAACGAATTACGAAAAGATAAAGAAACTTTATATTCATGCCTTTTAGTTAATAAAAGGTGGTGCCTTTTAGTTGTTCCTATTTTATGGGAAAAACATACACGGTATATTTATCATGAGGCTGAAAAAAAGTTTCATAATATAATACTTTCATCTTTATCATCATCATCAAAACAATTTTTAGGTGATAGTAATAATATTAAATTACCTTCAACAATTATTTCAAAACCATGAACATTTAATTACATTAGTTTTTGTAACATTCTTGAATCTAGGACTATAGATAGAATTATAATAAAATTTTTTAAGGCTAAAAAATTGAAAGATGGTAAAGTGGGAATTTGTAAGGAGTTAGGAAAAGTATTGGGAAGAAAGGGGAATACAATAAATTATCTTAGTTTATATTCAATTAATATTATTCCGTTAATGTCACTCGTTAATTTGAAAACTTTATTAATTTATAATTTTGAACTTTATGATAGTGATAGTATAGAGGTCGACAATATTCCCTATAAAAAAATTTTATCCGTTATTTCTGTAAAAACTCCGTAAAAATGAGCCTTTCACGGATCCATTCACGGAAAATGTAAATAATTCGATAAATTCCGTGATATAAAGTTATTAATTCCGGAAATATGAGCCTTTTACGGAAAGAAGATGGAATAAAAAAAACGGATTGACTTTTTTTGCAAGGATTTAGAAAATTTTATTAAATCAATTGCAAATAATTGTCCAAAGTTAAAAATTTATCCATTGGTATTACATCAAAAGAATTTATTCTTATTAAATCAATATTATTAAAATGTAGAAATTTAGTATGTGTAGAATTTAATAATATATGTTATGAAAATGATATTATAGGATGAAATATTAAATTATTTAATTGATAATTTACCAAAATCTTTAAATAAATTAATACTTAGTGGAAATTGGAAATATTCAATTGATATTTTGAAAGATTTCTTGAAAGTTGTAGGAATCATAAATTAATTCTTTTTGGAATTACATATGAAATTTTTATTACAGATAATCATGTAGCAATTGCTAGAAAATATGTTAATGAAGGAGTGATAGATGAGTTTAAAATTTTATATCCATCTCATACATCCCATTATTTATAGGATCACGCTATACAGTATATATATGGGTAAGTCATTACTCATTACATACAGTTTAATATATTTTACTAGCATAATATCGATTAAAATAATAGTGACTAAATATTGAGCTTCGAGAAAATAAAAATAGATATATTTTTAAATAAGAAGAGGATTAATGTAAATAGCTGATTAATTAACGTTCGATTTCCAAAAAATATCATTTATTATTATTAAGTAATGATGAATTCACAAGATAATGTTTTTAAAATATTTATTTATTTATTAGTTCTATTTACCTTTTGATAAACATAAAAAATTATATTACAAAATATTATTATTAATAAACAAAAATTGTAAAATGTTAATATTTTGAAATAAATTCTATTTATACGTGAAATTATAATTAAAATTCACTTGCCAATAGAAGATAGACAATATTAAAATAAGTATTAATTATAGAAATACATTATCAGTTTTATTTTTTTTTTTTTTGGCTGGATATGTTTTTTATTTTTACTAGGTAAAATATATATACTGTATATATTCTAACTAAAAAGATCATATAAAAACATTTATTCAANAAATAAATTAATACTTAGTGGAAATTGGAAATATTCAATTGATATTAAAATTAAAAATCAGAAAAACAGCTTAAAGGCACTTATCATAGTACAATTAGCCTAAAAGACAAAATAAATAATAATATTTTACATACTGTATATATATGTTGTATGTGATTTCTGAATACCGGTGGAAATCAGATCTTGGCCAGAATTACGAAATCCTAGTATGGCACTATGCTTTAATTCTGGCCAACATCCCGTAAATCCACATAAGCACCTATAACATATACATACAGATTTTATTATATTATTATTTACAGTATATATAATTTAAAATCACATAACCACATATCTAATTTTCACATGGAACATTTATCTTGAAGAGGAAAAAAAAGAAAAAAATAGTTTATTTCTTTTAAAAATACATAAAATAAAATCATTTTATTAATTTTATATCAGGCACATTTAAAAATAACTCTTTTACGACCACTTTTATTAATAGCTTTGAGCAGTTTTTTCTTACCATCTTTTCAAATTTTGATTAAGAAATTGATTTACCAAAAAGAGTTTTTTAGCTAATAAAATCTAGTAATTTAATCAATATTACAATTATTGTTTCTAATTATTAATCTTGCTAAATATAACAATACTTTTAGTAATAATTTCTATGTTGATATGCCTTTATTATCAAAATTCACTGAAAAACTTTGTTATCATAAAATCATCTATATTTCTTAATTATTATATGCAATAAATCCTTATAATTTAAATAATTTTCTATAATGATTTCTGATTTCTGGTAGTTTGTTATAGTTTGTTGTATGTAAATAATAAATAAAAAATAATTATTTATATAATTATATTAAAGAATTTTATTTTTTTTTGTTGCCTGCAGCACATTTTAGAATTTTTTTTTTTTTTCCCCCTATATTGTTTATCAAATTCTTAATTTTTATAAGATCTATCATGAAATAAAATTTCTTTAACCCTTCTTCTATATTATCATTTTCAAATATACTATTTTTGGTTATTGTAATGAATTCTTCTGATTTGATTAAATTATCAATTTTTTCAATTCTTTTGTTGTATTCCTCATTCATTCTTTCTTCATTATTAAATTTCTTTATCCATTCATTTTCTCAATTAAGTTATTTAAGATTTTGTATGGTTTTATAGCTCCTTCTTCTCTTCTTGTTTCTATAATTCTACTATTTTTATTTTCTAAGTATATTCAACAAATTTTTGAATCTCTTTTTTTGCTAACATTTCGATTGCAACTTTCGCAAACCTTTAATAAAGGTGAATTATTCATATCTAATCTATCTTTACTAAATGTATAGTATATTCCCATTCTTTGATAATTTTTACTATGTGATCTTTTTTTATCTTTGGCAAAAACCAAGAAACTATAGTATTCTTTTCTTGTCTTTCATTTTCATCAAAGTAATTTATATGAATATTACTTTTTTCTGTTCTTCTGATATATTCATTTTTAATTTTTCTTGTGTTTCCGTTCACATTATCAAATATTTTTGTTTCTAGTTCTTTAAACCATGCTGGTATTTTACCTTTCGTGCTTCCCCCAACTCTTTACACACATGTTTCCATTTCATCATTGTAATTCCGTCTAATTCTAATGTATCTTCTATGAATATTACTTTTTTATTCTTTCTTGACAATGCACTTTTAAATATATTTTTTTCACTTAATATTTCTGTAATATCTATCTTTCCTCCTTTTATTATATGATTTTCATTATTTTTATTGATTATTTCATGATCACAAAGATTGATATTTTCATTATTTAATATTTTTATCGCTGCTATAATCCAATTATTATTATTTCTTGATGATAATTTCATTTCTCCTGGACATTTTGATGTCCAAATCTTTTTCTATTCTTGAGACATTTTTATTTTGAATAATTTTTTTAACTTTTCATTACCATTTGCTTGGTAAAGTAGATTTTTACAGATCATTTCCAATTGTAGATCATATATATGTTTTGCTCTATATATGTCTTTATCAAAAATTATAAAGTTTGGCATTATTTTCACTAAGCCCGCCCTTTTTTTTAAGTATTATATTAAGTCTCGTCATCATTTTTGAACATTCTTCTTTACTTAATATAATAGCAGCTAATTGGTATTCAATTCTTGGTATAATCACCATGTTCCATACCGCTATGATCTATTTCTCATTAAGTCTCTTCCAGTTAAAAATATTACACACGCTGTTAATAATTGAAATTATTTTTTCTTTGTATATCTTTCTTTTATTGTTATGTCTGAAAAAAATTCCTAAATAAAGCACATTTTAGAATAACTGAAAAACAGAGAGTACAAATAAATGTACTATTGACTATCATTATCCTAATATTATCAGTGATTAAACTACTCATCATCCATATCAGGAACCCACGTATTTGAAGACTTTGCCTAGAGGAGTAAGCTTTGTGTGAAACAATTCTTTCTTAGAGGGAACCCTCCTCCTGGTTTATAGTGTAAGTGCCCCAAAAGACTTAAAGAAATTTATTTATGATTATAATTATTTAGTTTAATATATTATATTTTTGCATTTAATGTGGAATTGTTAAAAAGAACTATAAGGCATTTTTCTCACTAGAACTAATAGTATTGACTTGTTCAAGGTAAGAGAAGTAAGTTTATAAGAATATTAATTTATTATTTTGATTTTCAAAGTTAAATTGTTAACTGGTCAATCATTTCTCAGGAAATGCATAATAATTGATCTGTACAGTCTAATATTTTTAATCTCCACCTCCTGTAAAACTATAGATTTTTTATTGTACACTTCAGTTGATATATCCAATTGGGATTTGTGCTTATCATTAACACAAATAATAAAACAAACATAATCTTGAAAGAATAGCAAATCATGCAAATATTAAAATAATACAATAATTGATCTGTACAATCAAATGCTGTTATCCATCTTGTTTTAATATTCTTAATCTCCATATCCTGTAAAACTATAGACTTTATTGTACACTTCAGTTGCTGTAGTAAGCACAAATAAAGCAAACATAATCTCGAAAAGAATAGCAAATCATGCAAATATTAAATAATAGCTTTTCCAGAGCATTGATTTCTTGTTCAAATTCTTCATTAATTATCAGTATTTTCTAGTTTATTTTTTGGGTCTTGTAATTCTTTAGTGACTTTATCTAATTGCAGTTTTAATTTTTATTTTAAGCTTTTAATATTGTCTTTATGATTATTTATTACTACTTTCTTGCAATTTATGAAATTTAAGACATGGGAAGTAATTCTTATTTTTGGTCACAAAAAAGTATAGGTACTTATATCTGAAATAGCTGTTTCAGGTAAATTTACATTATCTTAAGGTTTCTTGTTATTAAAGCTACTATTATAAACTATTATAAACATTATATTGTCATCTTTGCCAATTTTATAATATTATTTTTTTATATTTCTTAATTAAATGTATTTGCTTCATTTTTTAAAATTTTTGTAGTATATCTATTTAATTACTTAATAATTTGATAAGTAAGCCTAAAGTGCTAATTGTCAGTGAAATTATTTGGTTATGGAACCATATAGCTGATATATTGTAGATCCAACTTTACTGGATTGATGATTATATATTAGGCATATTCTCTTATTATGATAAAGCTTTTAAGCTTTAAGTGATGGTAAGGGGGAGGAGTCTGAATAAAAAAAATTTAGTGAACATTAGATGCTTTAAAAGCTACATTATTACCAAATTTTGAATAATGTTAATTGATTCTTAATAATTTTTTTTTATTCTTGAGAAGTGTGAAATTGTTAGGATAAGGTGAAACTGATAAATTACAACCATTTTTGCATTAAAATAAATGTTTTCAAATTTTGCTTTTGGGTATCTTAATATTTGATAAAATTAAGGTTGCTTGCCGAAACCTAGGGGTTTAGGCAAGATGGCGTTTCGCCGAAAAGCGAAATTCTGCCAAAACTATATTAAAGTTATATTAAAAAACTGGCGAAACTTTGGAGAAAGGTGAAACTGCCGAAACTTATTATAAATGCCGAAACTGCCGAAACTCTGCCGAAACTATAATAAATCTATAGTAAAATTTTGACGAAACTAATCGTAGGATTTTGAAGAGGTTTAGACAAGCAACCTTAGATAAAATACAGTATTGTTAGCTCATTTTTATACTAGAATTTTTTGTCCAGAAAGTTGGTCCTCTGAATTGTGAAATAATAGCTTTTAACCAAGTTTCAGATGTATCTGTATTAATTATAGCTATTGCATCTATTTTTTGTTAATAAAAACAGTTAATATTTGTATAATTTTCAGTCATATATGATACAAATTTAAATTTTTTTTAAAATATGCCAACAGGCAAACTAGAATGATTTTTAAAATATGCCATCATTAAGGTTGCTTGCCAAAACTAGAGGGTTTCGGCAGAATGGTGTACGTGAAACTGCTAAAACTAGTTTCGCGAAATCATCAAGGAATGCCAAAACTGCGAAACCTATCAAAACCGTGAAACTGCCATAATTTGCCGAAACTGTTTTGGCGTTTCGGCAATACTTTTGATTTAATTAGAGTTTCAGCATTTAAACAATTTATAAGAATAAAGACAATATGATTTTTTGTATGTAAATATTTATTTTATAATATTTAATATTAAACTAATAAAATATACAATTAAAAATATAATAAAAATTAAAATTTAATATCTTTATCTTCTATGTGGGGACCTGCTTCTACCTCTTCTTCTATCTCTACTTCTATCCCGTCTTCTATCTCTACTTCTGTCTTGTCTTCTATATTTACTTCTATCTCTACTTTTTGATCGAGACTTAGATCATGACCTCCTTCTTTCCCTTTGCAATCTATATTCATATCGACGTCGATCATGCGTAGAATGCCGCCGTCGATACTCTCGTCTAAACAGATCTAAAATCCAATAAAAATATTAATGAATTGAATGAATTGCCTAAATAAAATTAATTTAAAATAATAATTAATAATAATTACCGGTTTGTAGCCAAAATTTATCGTTCATATCAGCGAAACACGCTCTATTGAAACTATTTAGGCTTACAATAGGAATGTCATCATCATTATTATTTTTCATAACCTTGTTTGAGGGCATTCCATTTTGTAGAGCATTGCCTAGGTGTCGCTGCAAATCCGGTTGCAGTGAACACCCTATTTGCTATTATTGTCCATGTATTTACATGGTGATGGTTTGCAATTCTTTTGAATTGCTGATGCAAATTTCTTCACTTGGCGATTAATTACCTAGCAGCGGTAATTGTCCATTGGAATGCTGGTGGTGGCGGTGGAACAAAAGGTACTAATGCTGCCATTTTTTATTTTTATGATTTTTTCGTAACTTGAAAATTAAATACAATTTGAAAATTAAAATACAATTTGGTTTTGAATTGCGAAAAAAAATCCTATATACTTCAAATTTCATAATATTTATACTAATTTTAAAATTCGTTATAATGTTTAAAACATGCATGAACTGATGAACATAATAACATTCTACATAATTAAAGTATTTGTAACAAAATAAATACAGTTTTAATTCTAATGTAATAAATTTAATTAATGCAGTTCTAAATTTTTTTTTGTAATGCAGTTCTTAAAATTTATTGATCTAATGTAATAAATTTAATTAATGAAGTCCTTAAAACTTATTGATTCTAATAAAATATGCTTATCCTTATATTTTAATTAAATTGCACTATTTTTAAAATATAATATGCTTATGCTTATTCCTTAATTAAATTGCAATGTTTTAAAATATAATATAAAATTACAATTGCCTGCATAATTATATGTTAACTGGACTTTGATCGCGAATATTTTGCCCTGCATAATCACATCATTTATTTCCTAAATAGTATCATTATTTAAATCACATGATATTAGAATTAATTCTCATTGGATTAACTATTGTAATTATTTCTCATTATTATTATTTCTCATTATCATTATAATTATCATCATTATTATCACCGTCATTCATACCTAATACATCATCTATATCATAATCATAGTCACCTTTCCCAGCTCTCTTGTTATTACCACTATCATCAACTTCATCATCTTTCGCATTATTTTCATCTGAATCATCCAATATATCTCTTGGAATATCGCTGATTTCACTAGTAATTGAATCATGCGATAAATTAACAAATTAATCAATCCATAGACTTTCGATTACTATATGGCAATTATCTTTGGGTATTGTTTTGCCGCTTGTAGTTAATCTTTAAGTAGAAGCTTGCTCCTCATTATATTCCTCATCATCATCTTCTGCAAAAGCTTCTGCAATACAGTAGGACAAACTTGGGGGTTCTGGGACAGCGGCTATCACATAGGTCTAACCATAATTTAGTGTACCCCCAGACCACCTAGCCTTGTTTTCTGATATAATAACACTATACCTGTTTTTCTATCCCCAGACCACCTAACATTGATTCCCGATATGTTATTACTTGATAGCTAAAAAGAACCCCCCAAGCGTTGTAGATAAGATTAACATCATATATTCCTAGGCATTATTACCACGCATAGATCCATTCCAGGGTATCATAATTTTATGCTATATCAGATTGCCTTTATAAGTGCCAAAGGTATGAAGAACACAAAGTGTCTGTAATACCGATATCACGATTCAGCAATCCATTGTGGTATACTATTTTTATGATACTCTAAAATGGATTCATTCGATAATTTAAGCCATTCATGCTTTAACCAAAAATTTTTAACAGGAAGGTAACTAGACATATTGTAAAGCTTTTCCTGCTATACGAAAAAATCTGGGACAGCGAAGTCTAACCAAAAATCTAACCCAGGTCTAACCAAAAATGTATAGCAGGAAGGCAACTAGATATGTTTTAAAGCTTTTCCTCCTATACAAAAAAATCTGGGACAGCGAAGTCTAACCAAAAATCCAACCCAGGTCTAACCAAAAAATGTATAGCAGGAAGGCAACTAGATATATTGTAAAGCTTTCTCTGCAATACGAAAAAATCTGGGACAACAGGTCTAACCAAAAATCTGACCGAGGTCTAACCAAAAAATATATAGCAGGTAGTCAACTAGACATATTGTAAAGCTTCCCCTGCAATACGAAAAAATCTGGGACAATGAAGTCTAACCAAAATTTAATCCTAATCATAAATTGCTCTGATTCTTTGACGAAGCCTATTTTCATACCGATTTTGATATAGCTTTCTGTCCATATGGACTGAACTTTGATTGAACTGGGTTTAGACTCAAATCAAACTGGGTTCAAACTTGGATCAAACTGGGTTCAGACTCAAATTAAACTGGGTTCAAACTTGGATTGAACTGGGTTCAGACTTAGATCGAACTAGGTTCAAACTTGGATCGAACTAGGTTCAGACTCAGATAAAACTGAGATTGCTTTGATTCTTTGACAAAGCCTTTTTTCATACCGATTTTGATAATAACTTCCAATATGAGATTGACATCGACCACTAGATGAACCTGTAGGTTTACCACATACAGCACAAGGAAAACGTGATTTTGTCTTCCAATAAATGTGACAACCTTCTGGCCTCATACAAGGACGACCACAAGGCTTTCCTGTATTATGTAAATATTCACAAGTATATTCTCCAATCATTTTTATTAAGTATAAATAAGTTAAATTAAAAAAAACTTTACAAAATATAAAAATATCTACCCAAGCTATACCAGCTAAGCCAACATACCGTGAAATTGAGTCAGCTCTAATTGCAGTAATTAAAGCAGGCATCCTTTACAAGAAACCAAAGGATGGTAAATTCATATTATGTTACAAACAAAGGATAATTAACTTGCGTCAAGCAGAAGAACCAGAAAATTTTGTTCTTGAAACAGCACAATCTATTCTACCTAATGAGACAAAGTATCAGCAAATCTTGGAAAATTATAAGACCTGGTATAGCAGAGAGCCAAAACTTTTGTCTGCTATAAATAAGCTATACAGATTATACTAAGAATTGGCAAAAGACTACTTCCTAACAGACTCCCAAGCAGATGATGAGGTAGAAGACTATCTTAATTCATAAGTACCCATTGTGGTGGAAATTCTGTATCATCTGGTATAACCAAAAATTCTTCCCTCACAAAGGATCTCTCTGATTCTTTACCATCATCATCAATAAGCCAGTACAAAACTGGTTGATTTTTCTGTGTTAAAGACATATGAATATGATAAATCTTAGGTGACCAATTCATATCTCCTGCTCGACGTCTTTCACCTTTCAGATCATTTGGTTCAAGTAAGTACCTTATACTTATATCAGGTGGTAGTTTCTCCTCTTCATACCCAACAGGTCCATCACGAGGATAAGAAGATATGGAAGACACTCGTGATTTTTTTATAGCTACAGCAGGAGATATACCAAGTTGTTGGGTCACTGAGTTATTTATACTTTATACAGCAATAGGTAAGTTTTTTACCCAGACTCGAGATCTCGTTTTACCTAAAGTTAGTAAGTCAGATGCATCTTGAGAGGGAAATAGTTTCTCAACCAAGGTACGGTTATATCGCTCCACAATGCCAACAGTACGCTTAGACTTGGCCTTCTGAATCTTTACACCATGGGAAGTTATCAGCTTTTCACACTCACCTTTAAACTCTGAACCCCTATCTGTAATCAATAATTTTGGCCAAGTGAGCAGACATGTTGTATCATCATATACCTTTTCAAAAGCCCGAGCAATAGTATGAGAAGTTAAGATTACCTGTCGATCTTTAACACTGGTTGAACCTATAGGGACACTTTCTTTATACCTCGATGCTATATCAACTATATTGAGACAGAAAAGATAAGTCACATGTCCAACC